TCTAGTCAGTACTATCTGCTGATTGCTTATATTCCTCTTTTATCAGTGTTTTATCATCTTGCACTCATTGTACTGATTCAGTGGCTTGCAAATTAAGAATGAAAGACTAATCTTGGACAGTGATTGATTTATGGTTTTACTGTATTGAGTTAATGAGCATAAGTGAGCCAAATCCATTACGTTTTATGTTGTTTATTACTTTATTGTATCACCCTAAATACTTATACTGTTCCTGATCTATGCAATAAACATTTTAAAAATGCAATTTTTTTGTTTGTGTGAAATTAATTTTTACTTTTTTTTAATAATTGCCAGTATTTGAAAGGTACGAACACGTGCATGTCATTGTGGTTTCTGACTTGTGAAAAGTGCTTCTGTGAGGACCTTCATCAGTATTCACATCCAATCTCTGTTTATGAATGATATGGTGCTCTGGCCCTGGAAAACAAATAATTTGCCATCCAGGTAAGTAAACAAAGAAATGTGATTAATGCCTTTTCACATGCCACGTTCCCATGACTATGGACAATTGGCAACTTTTTGTATTGTGGTAATGTGGACTCTTGTTAAATACTAAAACAACAATGTACTTCATTACTTTCATATATCTTTTTTATTATTATAAAAAAATAAATATTCATAAAGCTCTCTGCAAATTGAGCCAGTTCACCACCGGTTTGAACGTGTTCTTCATTTGAGCTGTAGTGTCTTTCAGGAAGGTAAATGTTAGTGGAAATGCTCTTGGTCTGAACACAAAGGGATTTTTGTTTCAGAGCTTTCCAATCGGTTGGAGGAGGAGGAGTTCTAAGACTTTGTGGCTGTTCCTGGGAACAGAGCAGTTCTGGTTTACACACACAGACAGCAGCATCTCACCTCTAACACAGTTCAACATGGTCAGCCGGTGAGTAATTGAACTTTTAACTCTCAGTCAAACTGCTCAGATTGTACAAATGTATGTATTGTACATTTTTGGAAAGTGGCAAATTTGAAAAGTATTTCTTTGTAAAACTGATGTTTCCTTTAAGCTTAAGTTTGTATACCCTTGGCAATGTATAATTTAGAAGAATGTGCAAAATGCCTCAAGAATAAGTATATTAGTATAAGTTTAGTTGTTTTGTTTTTCTTTTTCATGTCACGTCATTATGTAAAAAATGTGGACATCTGTTTTCATTCACAGTCTTGAACACCCAGCCGGTGGCTATAAAAAAATCTTTGAGTCATGTGATGAGTTAGCTGAGCCCATTCCTGCTCATGTCTCAGGTTTGTATGCCTATAAATCAAGCATTTTCAATTTGATAACTTTCCACATTTTACTTTCTCCATGCTTTCATTGAAGGGAAAAGTGTATGCAGATTCTGCTGTGGCCGATGTAAAGACCTTGTAGCTTTTGATATGGGAGCTGTTTTATAGACATTCGGGGGCTGAAGAATTTATTTGGTTAAAGTGAACCTTCTCTCTTTCTCTGCAGGCAAAATCCCTGCCTGGCTCACTGGCAGTCTGCTCCGTGTGGGCCCTGGGCTCTTTGAAATTGGAGATGAACCTTTTTACCACATTTTTGATGGCCAGGCTCTCATACACAAGTTTGACCTGAAGGATGGACATGTCACTTATTACCGCAGGTAAGACCCTGTGTTATACGTTTGTGTGTTTATCGTGCAGTAAAATCCAAATTGAGTTTTTGAGGTTTTGCAATAAGTTACTGGAATTGAAATGACTCATATGCTGGATCATTTTTGTAAAAAGTGGTTTAATGCCGAAATTAGATTTTGCTTAATCAAATGCATATTTACTGGTACCTTTAACTTCAGGTTTATCAGAACTGATGCTTATGTGAGAGCCATGACAGAGAAAAGGATTGTGATCACAGAGTTTGGCACCGCTGCATATCCAGATCCATGCAAAAACATATTTTCCAGGTCTGGAGAGCATTTTCTATTCAATTTCATTTGGGAGTATAATAATAATGCCATAAAACAAATGTACTCCTAATGGTGCATTTACTTTTGGTACTTCCTTTTTTTTTTTGTACATCAGGTTTTTTACTTACTTTCAAGGCATTGAGGTGACGGACAACTGCCTTGTCAACATCTACCCCATTGGTGAGGACTTCTATGCCTGCACGGAAACCAACTACATAACCAAAGTTGATCCTGATACCCTAGAAACTATAAAAAAGGTAGGCTTTTGCACTGGTGCCCAATTTTGAGGCCATTAACAAAAGCATACATCTTTTAAAGGAATAGTTCACCCAAAAATTTAAATTTTCAGAAAATGTACTCAACCTCAGGCCATCCAAGATGTAGATGAGTTAGTTTTTTCGTCAGAACAGGTTTGCATTACATCACTTGCTCACTAATGGATCCTCTGCAGTGAATGGGTGCCATCAGAATGAGAGTTCAAGCAGCTGACAAAAACATCCCAACAATCCACAAGTAATCCACATGACTCCAGTCCATCAATAAACAGTCATGCTGATTACTAATAGATTATCGTGCTGTTTTTATCAGCTGTTTGGAGATTCTGATGCCACCCATTCACTGCAGAGGATCCAATGCTAAATTTCTTCAAATCTGTTCCTATAAAGAAACAAACTCATCTATATTTTGGAAGGCCTGAGGGTAAGTACATTTTCAGCAAATCCTGTTTTGCATGAACTATTCCTTTAACATCTCTACTTCCCATAGGTGGACCTTTGTAATTATCTCTCAGTCAATGGTGTGACAGCACATCCACATACTGAACCAGACGGTACAGTATATAACATTGGGAACTGCTTTGGGAAGAACATGTCACTGGCCTACAACATTGTCAAGATCCCTCCACCACAAGATGGTTGGTATATTGCTTTGTTGGTCTAAAAGCATCTTATTAATGCATTCTGTGGAAGTGTTTAACTTTTCTTTAATCATATATTTAATCAGATAAATCCGATCCAATTGAGAAGTCTAAGGTTTTGGTGCAGTTTCCAAGCAGTGAGCGATTCAAACCATCCTACGTCCATAGGTTGATATGAAATGATGTGATATGATATAATATAATAATCAATTATTCATAATTAAAATAAATATTAATAAATTATATATATATTTTTTTAGCTTTGGGATGACGGAGAACTACTTTGTGTTTGTTGAGACTCCAGTGAAGATCAATCTGCTGAAATTTCTGACTTCCTGGAGTATCAGAGGGACAAATTACATGGACTGCTTCGAGTCAAATGACAAAATGGGTGTAAGTAAGAGCTTACTGGCATTATATCATGTTCGAAATGTTAATTATATGTTTGGAAAATGAAAAAAAAAAAAAATGCTCTGGGTATTTTGTACGGTAACTCATCCTCTTCATTTGGTTACATTCCCAGACATGGTTTCATCTGGCAACCAAGAATCCTGGAGAATACATTGACCACAAATTCAGAACATCTGCCTTTAATCTTTTCCATCACATTAACTGTTATGAGGACCAAGGCTTTATTGTTGTCGACCTTTGCACTTGGAAGGGGTAAGACTGCTTGTTTTTTATATTTATTGAAGCATTAGCTAACATCTCAAATGGCCAAATAACATGTATCAACTAACAAAAAACACATGCATTTGATAATGGCAGTAAGCATGGCCAGAGGAGAGCTCAAAAATAGACTATGGAGCTCAAAAATAGACTCATCTGTGGTCCCCTTTCTTTGAATGACAGGCATGATTTTGTGTATAATTATCTATATTTGGCAAACGTGAGGCAAAACTGGGAGGAAGTCAAAAAAGCAGCCATGAGCGCTCCACAGCCAGAGGTGCGGCGATACGTGCTTCCACTGGACATTCACAGGGTAGGAGATATCATGATCCTACTTCACCTCAGGAACTATTAGATTGAATTCAGGTGGTTTCTTTATATTTTTGTCTCTGTCTTTCCAATGCAAAAGTTCATTCCTTTGTTGTTTTTGCAGGAAGAGCAGGGGAAGAATTTGGTTTCGCTTCCATACACCACAGCCACTGCTGTCATGTGCAGTGATGGAAACGTTTGGCTTGAACCTGAGGTTCTTTTCTCTGGACCGCGTCAAGGTAATTACTCAGTCAGCACCTTCCTTATTTGGAAACGGTCATAAATACAGCCAAGTTATTATAGATTTTATAACTATTTTTTTAAATAATTGTTTTATTTTGACTTACTATTGAATTTATATCCAGTACTTAAAATGTAATGTACTTATTAAAAACTAATATTAATGCTGTTTAAAAAATAAATGAATAAAGTCAGATTTCAAAAAATTGATTGAAAGTATTTGCTCTTTGGGTTGTGTTTGTGTTTCAGCTTTTGAGTTTCCTCAGATCAACTATAAAAAATACTGTGGGAAAAATTACACCTTCGCTTATGGACTTGGGCTAAACCACTTCATTCCAGACCGGGTGTGTGTGACGTGATACTGAACATTTTTCATGTTCAACATTTGCTCCATGTGTGATTTGTGTCATATTTGTGGGGTTTTAGATTTGCAAGTTGAACGTGAAAAGCAAAGAAACATGGATATGGCAGGAGCCAGATGCCTATCCATCTGAACCACTGTTTGTGCAAAGCCCTGATGCTAAAGATGAAGATGATGGTATTCCACATCTGTTACTAAACAGAACATGTATTTTGGATCTTTTTATTATCCCAAAATAATGGTTTTTATTCTGGTTTTCTCAGGTGTTCTTATGAGTATTGTAGTGAAACCAGGAGTCACCCAGAGGCCAGCGTTCCTCCTCATACTCAATGCCACTGACCTGACAGAAATAGCACGTGCAGAGGTTGATGTCATGATTCCTGTCACTCTCCATGGCATGTACAAACCTTAGAGGATCAGAACCACGACTTTGCATTTCAGACTATACTTTAAAATTGGTACATTTTTTATGTAAACAGTGTGATTGTTGCTATTTTAAATGGGCCAGTTATATGACCTGATATGCTTGTAATGCAACAGCTTTATGATAAACGTGTACAGTAAGATAGACGACTTAAAAAAAAAAATTCTACTTCAGCATTTATAAACAATGATTTCATCTGAAGTAAAATTCCATATGTACAAACAGGTTTATTTTACATTAGTCAGAAAATCACAATAATAATGGCACTACTGCTGATTACAGGCAAATTGTCATTAAAATAAAGATATGTGCTTAAAACTAACACTGTTAGTTTATTACTTTAATAAAACAGCGTATACAAGTTTATAAAGTTTCTGCAGAGGTAGTGTTATAGTCGAAGAAAAGGAGTCCTCATTTTCTCTCTGGACAATTGATACTCTTGTTGCTTAATGATTTTCAGACACTTGCTCAAAACCTAAAAAGGAACAGAGGCATATATTTCATAAAGCTTTGATTTTCAAAATCAAGAGCTTTTGGAAGAAAATCCAAATGTATCTACTATTAAAACTATTAACTCTTTTATAACAAAAGATATGAGCAAACGTTTTAAGATAACAATGAAAAAGGTATTTGGGCAGTTAAACCACACTTAAATATATTCATGTAATTGCATTAGATAACAAAATATCAAAACAAGTGGTATTTATTTTAAAGAAATATTTCAGGTTATTATAAAGAAGTATTAACTAGGAACACTAGTTAATATCTCTTAGGTGTACTATAATGATGCCACTAAAACCCTCAACAGCTGCTTTTCATTATGGCCTTCCAGTTAAAAGTCTAGTGCTCTGTGCTGTTTTTTTTTTTTGTCTTAAGTTTGTAACGTAAAAGATGAATTACCCCATTTTTTGTAGAAAATTAAAAGGGAAAATTAAACCAGTGTTCATATTTGTATAGCAAAAGTACAACTGATTAAGCATTATTTCTATAGCAAAAGTACAAATCGAAGATTCAACCACATAGAAATTAAATAAAATATATTTGCTAGCTCTTTTACCTTTCTGGTGTCTTGAGGTAGAAGAAGACCATCATCCCACAGTCTGCCGGTGGAAAAGAATGCTGAACTCTCTTCCTCCAACCTTCACAGGGATATTTTTATTTAAAATTTTTTTTTTACATATTTTCATTTGATTTATTTTTAACTTGTGCATTTGACATCCTGTTACATTGGCTCTTACATCTCATTAATCTGTGTGATTTCCTCTTCATTCTGCACAAATGCATCCGAGTGGCCTGGGGCCAAAATCGACACTCTCGCATTGGGCCACAGGAACAGGAAATTAGGGTCAAAAGCCCTTCTACTAAACAGAACATGTATTTTGGATCTTTTTATTATCCCAAAATAATGGTTTTTATTCTGGTTTTCTCAGGTGTTCTTATGAGTATTGTAGTGAAACCAGGAGTCACCCAGAGGCCAGCGTTCCTCCTCATACTCAATGCCACTGACCTGACAGAAATAGCACGTGCAGAGGTTGATGTCATGATTCCTGTCACTCTCCATGGCATGTACAAACCTTAGAGGATCAGAACCACGACTTTGCATTTCAGACTATACTTTAAAATTGGTACATTTTTTATGTAAACAGTGTGATTGTTGCTATTTTAAATGGGCCAGTTATATGACCTGATATGCTTGTAATGCAACAGCTTTATGATAAACGTGTACAGTAAGATAGACGACTTAAAAAAAAAAATTCTACTTCAGCATTTATAAACAATGATTTCATCTGAAGTAAAATTCCATATGTACAAACAGGTTTATTTTACATTAGTCAGAAAATCACAATAATAATGGCACTACTGCTGATTACAGGCAAATTGTCATTAAAATAAAGATATGTGCTTAAAACTAACACTGTTAGTTTATTACTTTAATAAAACAGCGTATACAAGTTTATAAAGTTTCTGCAGAGGTAGTGTTATAGTCGAAGAAAAGGAGTCCTCATTTTCTCTCTGGACAATTGATACTCTTGTTGCTTAATGATTTTCAGACACTTGCTCAAAACCTAAAAAGGAACAGAGGCATATATTTCATAAAGCTTTGATTTTCAAAATCAAGAGCTTTTGGAAGAAAATCCAAATGTATCTACTATTAAAACTATTAACTCTTTTATAACAAAAGATATGAGCAAACGTTTTAAGATAACAATGAAAAAGGTATTTGGGCAGTTAAACCACACTTAAATATATTCATGTAATTGCATTAGATAACAAAATATCAAAACAAGTGGTATTTATTTTAAAGAAATATTTCAGGTTATTATAAAGAAGTATTAACTAGGAACACTAGTTAATATCTCTTAGGTGTACTATAATGATGCCACTAAAACCCTCAACAGCTGCTTTTCATTATGGCCTTCCAGTTAAAAGTCTAGTGCTCTGTGCTGTTTTTTTTTTTTGTCTTAAGTTTGTAACGTAAAAGATGAATTACCCCATTTTTTGTAGAAAATTAAAAGGGAAAATTAAACCAGTGTTCATATTTGTATAGCAAAAGTACAACTGATTAAGCATTATTTCTATAGCAAAAGTACAAATCGAAGATTCAACCACATAGAAATTAAATAAAATATATTTGCTAGCTCTTTTACCTTTCTGGTGTCTTGAGGTAGAAGAAGACCATCATCCCACAGTCTGCCGGTGGAAAAGAATGCTGAACTCTCTTCCTCCAACCTTCACAGGGATATTTTTATTTAAAATTTTTTTTTTACATATTTTCATTTGATTTATTTTTAACTTGTGCATTTGACATCCTGTTACATTGGCTCTTACATCTCATTAATCTGTGTGATTTCCTCTTCATTCTGCACAAATGCATCCGAGTGGCCTGGGGCCAAAATCGACACTCTCGCATTGGGCCACAGGAACAGGAAATTAGGGTCAAAAGCCCTTCCACACTAAAAAAAAAAAGTTCTGAAAGATTTTACATTTTTTACTACCTTTTTTTTTTTTCTTTTTTTTTATCTAGATCAAAATAAATTTATATACTGACCATAGCATAGCTATCACCTCCATGACATCCTCCAATAACCACAGTAATTTTAGGAACAGAAGCACAAGCCACAGCAGACATCATGGAACCCTGAGCCTTCAGTCTGTTAGTGTTGGACTCCGCCTAAGAGACATGGGAAAGCGAACGAGTGGTTTAGAGGAATGAAGTGAGTGAGGGAGAAAAGAGAGCAAGTAACAAAGTAAAACAAGATGGCGTGTGTGTAGAGCCAGATGTCATTCCATTAAAACAAAACACTTATTTGTAACTACTGGAAACTATTACACTTTCCTGTGTATCACATGTATGTTTAAATTTAATTACAAGTAATATGATTTCTCTTTTAAAGAATCTTTGTTGGAAAGTCTGCATATACGTCTATGTCTTTTGATGTACCTTGGTTTGAGAAAATGTGTGTGCAGGTTCTGGTGCCGTGTTTTGCAGGAAGATGAGAGGAATGTCCCTCTGGTCACACAGCTGAACAAAATGACTGCCTTTCAGGGAAGCTTCATATGTCAGCTCTCCGTTATTTGCCACGATTCCAACCTGATGACTAAAGATTGATGAGAAAAATAAAATCACTTTTCATAGTAAAGAAAAACTAGAATTTGCATGTTCTCAAGAAAACATAACTGCCGTTTGCCAATGCAAAACTCCTCAATATATTCTGGGTGGTTGTTAAGCTGTGGTTTTCAGAGAATGTAACTATGCAGTACCCATGGTCTTCTGGGTGGTTTCTTACTGACTGAAGTGTAAAAAGCTTTTATGACATTTTAGCCCCAAGATATGTCTAATTAAGTATCAAAATTACAGATTTAGTCACGTTTTATTGTCTGCCAGGTGATTTTTTTGTTGCTGTTGAATTGATAAAAAAATAATAACACCTCTTCTCAACAAACCACATAATTAAAGGCACAATTCATGTCCGTAGCACAAACGCTGTGGGATAAATGTAACAAATGATGATTGCCATAGCAAGCATTGCCAATTAAATAAAGATAAACGTACACATTTTATATAAAATAACAAATGTAACATCAGTTTAACACTAGTGTTTGTTCAGCATAACATAACCCTCAATAACAGTTTTATCTGAACATCTCTGACGTAGTTGTATCCTTTTGGTAGGAGTTTCAGATTGCCACAACAACAAAGCAGCTCTCAGAGATGTTCTTTGTGTGAGCAAATAAAAGATGCTGGAAGAGATCCGTTGCCATCTTTAGCCAAGATTCCTTCTCTTAATCCACATCCTGCTCAGATCTGATTGGTCAGACATACAGACGCAAGAAAATCTGATTTTCAGGTTAACTGGGTTAGCGGTTTCATCTTTACATTTACCATTGTACTGTCTACCATTTTCCTGTCAAGGCAGTGTCCTGATTGATGACCTAGAAACAAGTTATGCATTTAATGTTTTAACAGTGGGGGGAAAAAAAGATTTTCAGTTCAATTTCCACTTACACAATAATCAAAACAGCTCACTTTTTTCTAATAACAAATGAACAAACCATCCTCCAAAAACTATTACCCTTCAATTCTGGCAAACCCAGTGAGGAGGGGGGTGCCGTAACGGGCCTTGAACTCCTGAAACCGACTACCATCAGTCAGTCGACTCACAACCTAAACAGTATAAAGAAAGAAATGAGTAAATGAACACCCACAAATTATGTGATAGTATAAGTCTGAAACGGTGCATGTACATGAGTCTTTACCAGTCTGACATCCATGCTGTGATTGTAGCAATGAGGTGCAAGGCCCATGAGATCGTCCACGTTGTACAGCGGCTCCTCAACCTGAGCGCTGTCCTCCTCTGGGAGCTCATAATTTAGGGTGGAGATGATGTTTCTGGTATACTCATATGCCTCATTCTCTGCTGAAGCAAAATGGTCCACACAGCCGCTCACTCTGGTGATATAGACAAGGAGGCAAGAGATTTGCAGTGAAATTAAAGAAATATTGAAGAAGAAAAAAATTTAATCCGAGCAAAACTGTGCAGGATGCATTTATAATATTGTTGCAATATTGAGTTCAATTATTGTATTATATATTAATAAAATAATTTTTTATTTACAAATAAAAATTATATTTCATTTTATTTAATATTATGGTCAACTATATTATATCATATATTATTTATAACATTATATTAATATGGTTTCTTTATAATTCTGTTATTATTAGAGGGATGCATTTACTTTTTTTTTTTTTTTATGAATCTAATTGCTTTACAAATTTTTGAATAATCTATGCTGCTTTAAATATACCCCAAAACTTGACTGACAATCAGTTAAGCAAAGCAGGATGGTTTTGGTCTTGGTTAACCACCACATTTTCATCATTATTTTTATTTATCAATCAATAACATGGTTGTGGACATACAGGGATTGAAAACCACTGCTCTGGAGATATAAAGATAACAGCATACTCTGAGTGCAGCCTGGCTCCTCCCAGGTCCTCTGGGGAAACCTCCTCTCCAGTTGCAGCTTTCACCAGCGGTGGACCCCCCAAAAATATTGTTCCTATCCCGTGGACAATCACCGCCTCCTCAGACATAGTGGGGACATAAGCACCTCCAGCTGTGCATGAGCCACACACTACTGCCACCTACAGGTTATGATATCACATCACATTAGATCAAACATTTAGCATTACACAAAAAAAAAGAATTGACTGGGAATGGATATTTGTTTTTTAATAAGAATGTTTTGCATGAATCTTTTTTTACCTGAGGAATCTTCATTGCTGACATAACTGCTTCATTGAAAAAAGTGCGACCTCCATGGTTGCTATCAGGAAAGATCTCTGACTGTTGATAAAGCAGTTGCACAACCATTAATGCACCATTAAGAGATAACAGAGCTCACCATGGCAATAAATGCAAGTTACCTGAAGAGGCAGAAATGCGCCACCACTGTCCACCAAGTAAACAGAGGGCAAACGATTCTGCATTGCCACAACCTGCGCCCTGAGCTGCTTTTTAACTGTGATGGGATACGCTGTACCTCCCTTCACCGTGGCGTCATTAGCAATGAACATGCACCAAAGTCCATTAATTTTACCGATTCCTGTAGAAAAATAAATAACACTGTTACTAAGGAAGCAGTTTGAGAGGAACCCCTATGGACAAATATTTTAATATCAATTAAAGTCAAATTATTACATCTACTAATGATAATATAAAGTCTAATAATTCTAAATAATAAATAAAGTCTAAATAATGTTATGTCTAATTATAATAATACCAATCAATAAATAAACAACCCTGGTGCAGTCAAAAACACAATTCAAAGAAAGGAGAAAAATA